AATAGTATCATTAAAAATAACAATTGTAGGCTCGGTGCTTGTGGCTCAAGTGGCTAAGGCGCCAGCCACATACACCTAAGGTGGCAGGTTCGAATCCAGCCCGGGCCCGCCAAACACAACTATGACGGCTGCAACCAAAAAAAATAGCCAGGTGTTGTGGCGGCGCCTGTGGTCCCAGCTACTTGGGAGGCTAAGGCAGGAGACTCGCTTGAGCCCAGGAGTTGGAGGTTGCTTTGAGCTGCGATGCCACGGCACTTTACCCAGGGGGATAGCTTGAGGCTTTGTCTCAAAAAATAAATAAATAAATAAATAAATAAATAAATAAATAAATAGCAATTGTAGGGTGGTACCTGTGGCTCAATGGAGTAGGGTGCCAGCCCCATACGCTGGAGGTGGTGGGTTCAAACCCAGCCCCAGCCAAAAAAAATAAATAAATAAAATAAAAATAACAATTGTATCCAAGGCACTGGGCTAAAATTGGGAGTTGTGAGAAGGCATGTAGAGAAAGATGAATTACACGGTGCTGATGCTCTCAGTAGGATTTTGCCTCCACAGAATCATGGAGAAAGAGCCGCTAATGTAATCCTCTCTGACAGTAGCCTTGAGTGGAAGAGACATTTGACCCAAGTCTTGAAGCATTTTTGTAAAATAAAATAACTTAAAGTACCAAAAATTACATAATAAGCTCTCACATACCCATCAACTAACATTTTGCCAGTTTGCCTCAGAAACAGTCTCGTGGAGCTGTGAGCGTTCAAAGATTAACTGAGGCACGTTGAAATGGTAGAGTTTATTTGAGCAGATTCATGAATTGGGCACCAGCAGTGTGGGCTATACAGAGAGGGGTGACCAGGGAAAACTTTCATAAGGTGATCGAGGAGGCAAAATGAAATATGGTCAGCCATGGCTTAACTACAGGAGCACGTTCTGAGAAACGTGGGGTTAGTGATCAGGTGGCTCCGTGAAGGTCAAGTGCACTCACGAACACCCAGTCAGTATGGCCTTCTACACCCAGCTATGGAGCACAGCCTCCTGCTCCTTGGCCACAAACCTGTATATTATGTTCCCGTACTGAATACCGTAGGTGAGCCACACAATGCAATTTGCATATCCAATTGTATTTTAACATAGAAAAGGAAGGGTGAAAACACAGCATTATTATCTTGTAGGACCACCATCATACATGGGGTCCTTAATGGAAATATCATTATGCAGCCCATGACTGTACTCGACTGCTTAAAGTGGAACAGTGACCTGAAGGTTCTTAGTTACAGGTTAGTTGGTAGTTTCTGATGGGTTGAGTTTAAGTTTCATTTTCCTAGGAGGTAATCCTTCACTCTGCAGTGAGATTTGACTTGCTCATGTAGGAGGAGCCCAAGGCACTGGGCCATCTCAGACGAATGCCTCCCAATTAATTATTTTATCAGAAAAAATAATACCAAGAGACCCCTTGTAACTTTTACCCAGTTCCTACCCATGATACCACCTTGCAGAACTATAGCACCCTATCACAGCCAGAATATTGGCATCGATACGGTGAAGACACAGAACATCTCATCACTAGGAGGATCCCTCATGCGGATCTTTTACAGCCATGCTGACATCTCCCACCACCACCACCTTTTCCTTAAACCCTGCAAAGCACTAATTTGTTTTCCATTTCTACCCTTTTGTCATTTTCTAGATGTTATACAAATGGAATCGTACTGTGCCTAACCTTTTGGGATTTGCTCTTTCCACTCTGCTTAGCTCTCTGGAGATGTATCCAAGCTGTTGTAGCTAAGTATTAAGTAGTTCCTTTGTTTTGACTGCTGAGGAGTATTTCCTGGTATGAATGTACCAGTTTGTTTAACCATTCATCTATTGAAGGACAGCTGAGTTGTTTTCCATTTTTGGCTACTATAAACATTATTATTACTGCTATAAACATTCATGTGTAGGTTCTTGTGTAAACATAATATACAAAAACATGTTTCTTTAGAAGAAAGATATCCAGGAATGCAATTGCTAGGTTGTAGTACTTGCTTACTTAATTTTTAAGAAATTGCCAGTCTGTTTTTTTTTTCAACAAAACTGCAGTTTAATTTCAGAAAATGTGTTAAAATATATATTTATAGATCAATTTCTGACATACACTTAATGTGTTAATATACACAAAATGATGCTTTCTCTTGAAACTGTATTCATGAAATAATTGCCAGTCTGTTTTTAAGAGAGGCTGTATTGTACTAGATGTACACCGATAGTGGATAAGTAATCAAGTTTCTTTGCATCCTCACTGGCATCTTGTGTTGTTTTTAAATTAATTGCATTAATTATAGATTAAATAGATTTTATAAGTTTTATAGATTAAAACCAATTTAAAACATTGAATTTGTAGTTAGCCATTCTTGTATTTGTTTAGTGCTGTGCTTTTAATTTGCGTTTCCCTATAGCTAATGAAGTTGAACTTTTTTAATGCTCTTATTTGCCATCAAGATCCTCTTTTATAAAATGTCTCCTCGTGCCTTCAAAAAAAGTTTTGAATTTTTTTTAAAAAACTAATTAGGTTTTTGTTTGTGATTTGTTTGTTTTACCATTTGGTTTTGAGAGCCCTTGGAATATTTTATATACTAGTCCTTTGTCAGATATGTGGTTAACACATATTTTCTCCCCATTCCGTAACTTGTCTTTTCATCCTCTCAACACAATCTTTTTTTTTTTTTTTT